AAAAAAGACAAAAAAAGGAAAAAAAATACACAGGCAAGAGACATGGGAGGCGAGTTGCATACCATGGACTATGGGTCCGACATTAATAAGCTCACATCTTTTTTTTTTTTTTTTCCTTTTTTGTCTCTTTTTTCATGACCGGCTACGGGATCGCAACCCTCGGTGTTGCTCCCGCACCTCGCTCAGCCAGTGAGTGGCCGGGCTGTATGTGGGATCCGAACCCTCGGTGGGAGCGCCGCCGCGCTTCCCAAGCGGCGCACTGCAGCAGTGCGCCACCGGGCCGGCCCAATAAGCTCACATCTTGGTGTCTGAAACCACTGGGCTGGGAGGTTGGCAGGGGGGTGACAGTAAGGCAAAGCCATACAATGGCCACCAGAAGGGACACCCCAATTCCCACCCACCAGCTGGGACTTGCAGGGCAGGCAAGGAAGCTGCTTTGGGCATGAGTTTGCTGCTGTGACACATTGGCCTCTTGGCGGGCAGGCACCCTCGGTGGGACTCAGAGCCAGGGTTTGCCTCAGGAAGAAAGGAGAGAGAAAGGGACCGGGGGGGGGGGTGGCGTTTATCAGCAGCAGGCCCCTAGAGGCCAGCAAGTAGGGGGTGGGGGGCCGTGGCTCTCAGCCCGGACATGCGCTCACCAAGCCCTGCTTGGAGACAGCATGCAGTTGGGGTCCTAGGGATCCCAGGAGCTACCTCCTGATCCCAGCCCGGGGCAGCAGGACAGGGGCGCAGGCGATGCCCGCGAAGGACTCTGGGAAGTGCAGGTCTCGCTCCCACTCATCTGTCTCTGTGTTGTACACCTGCACAATGCCTGTGACGTTGTTGAGGCGCCAGTTGTAGCCCCCGACAATGTAGATCTTCCTTTCCAGCAGACAGCAGCCAGCCTCCGACTGACCGGCCCGCATGGGGCTGACGCTGGTCCACTGGTCCGTCTCGGGTACATAGTACTCGACAGCCAGCACATCGAAGCAGTGGTCCACGTGGTCCATGCGGCCGCCCAGGGCGTAGATGCGGCCGCCTGCACCCACCATGGCATGCAGCACACGGGGCTCACTCATGGGAGCTTTGAACTCCCACTGGTCAGCCACGGGGTCGTAGCAGTGCAGTGCCTTCTTGTCCTCCACCGAGATACCGTAGCCGCCTGAGATGTAAAGGCGGTCCCCTGAGGAGGCGCCAGCATGGCCCCATGTGCGGCGCTTCAGTGAGCAGGCGTAGCCCCACTCGTTCCGCCGGGGACAGTAGCGCTCAACGGAGGCCAAGCTGCCGGCCCGGTTGCGGCCGCCTGTGGCGTACACCATGCCACACAGCACATTTAGCTGGAACTGGATGCGGCTCTCCTGCATGGCCTGTAGGCGCAGCCAGCGGTTCAGGTGCGGGTCATAACGGTAGCAGGCATCCACTGCGCCCTCCCCGCTGCGGTACTGCAGGTGCTGGCCCCCGGCCACATACACGAAGTTGTCAAGCACAGCCACGCATGTGTGGCTGCAGCCCACCTCCATCTCTGTGAGCTCACGGAAGTGGCGGGCGCCTGGCTCGGGCAGGTAGTACACCTTGCTGCTGACAGAGCGGTCACTGTCAGTGTAGGGTGTGCCACCGAAGGTGACCAGCGAGGGCACATCCGAGCGCACAGCAGTGCGTGGTGACTGCATCTCGTGCTGCCGGAAGGGCAGCACCTGGTAGTTGAAGGCCTCCAGCAGATACTGGCGGCAGAGCACATCCTCCACCATGATGTCCAGCGTCTGTACGCTGTCCACCAGCTCCGATGACTGCATGAGCGGGAAGCGGATGTGGCAGAGCACGTGGCTGGCACGGGGCCGCCGCGCCGGGTCATGCTGCAGCCAGCGGACTGCGGCACGGAACAGGTCGATCTCGGTGCAGCTCTGCAGCCGGTTGCTCTGCAGGAAGAAGACGAGACGCTCCAGTGGCAGGCGCAGAAAGTCCTCCTCCTGGGCGATCTGCAGGAAGTGCCGGAAGGTGAAGGCATCCACAGACTCCCGGAGTGAGGCCAGGCTGAAGGTCGTGGCCATCTGGCCAATGTTGAGGCAGGTCTCCACACTCATGGCCGCCTTGAGGAACTCCTCGCACAGCTCCACCACAGGCAGCATCTGAAGGAACACAGCTGCACCCAGCACGTCCTGCACACAGTCAAGGTCCAGGGTCACCTCAGCGCTGTAAGCGAAGTCAATGATGTGCCGCAGGCCACGGGCCGACACTCCCTTCAGTTCAATGACGTCCTGGTTCGCCTCCCTCATGCCGCCCGTGAACATGGCCCTGGAAGTCAGAAACACAGTGTAGGCTCGGGGAGGCTAAGGGTGTCGTGGCCGGCCAGGAATGGCCTGGCCTCAGGAATGGTGGCCCCAAGACACAGAATGAAGGGCACAGTCAGCAAGAGGAAAGCAGAATGGATGCTCATTAAAAACATGCAAAAAAGCAGGGCCGGCCCGTGGCTCATTCAGGAGAGTGCGGTGCTGATAACACCAAGGCCACAGGTTCGGATCCTATATAGGTATGGTCGGTTCGCTCCCTGGGTGAGCGTGGTACTGACAACAACAAGCCAAGGGTTACGATCCCTTTACCAGTCATTCTTTTTTGTCTTTTTCCGTGTCCGGCAATGGATCGCAACCCTCAGTGTCGACCCCGTACCGGACCGGGACCGGCAACGGGATCGCAACCCTCGGTGTTGCCCCCGCGCCTCGCTCAGCCAGTGAGCGGGAACCAGTCTGTATGTGGGATCCGAACCCTCGGCGGGAGCGCC